TGTGTGTGTGTGTGTGTGTGTGTGTGTGTGTGTGTGTGTGTGTGTGTGTGTGTGTGTGTGTGTGTGTGTGTGTGTGTGTGTGTGTGTGTGTGTGTGTGTGTGTGTGTGTGTGTGTGTGTGTGTGTGTGTGTGTGTGTGTGTGTGTGTGTGTGTGTGTGTGTGTGTGTGTGTGTGTGTGTGTGTGTGTGTGTGTGTGTGTGTCAGGAAGGGACAGGGGAGATGGGAGATGGTACTGTAGTTGATCAGGTGGTGCAGAGACATTAGGGGCTGAATTATTGATGCTGTGGTCAATAGAGGTCTCCGGTGGCCCACAGGAAGTGAAGGATGAGAGTGTGAGACTTCCTCAGCTGGCAGTGAGCAATGAAACACAGAGAGAGAGAGAGAGAGGAGGTTTTATGGAAGACACACACACAGGAAGTGGATTTTTCTCCCTCACTGGCACTATCTTTCTAGTGTAGAGAGAAGCAGGTGTCATAGTAAAGCCTCACAACCAGGGGAGTTTAATTGTAGAGTAAACTTCTATAGATGACATGTGTAAACATTGTGGTGTAGCACAGCTAATTTGACAAGGTGTGAATTGCTCATTAAAATAAACGCATATAGGATTACAGATAAGCTACCTGCTAAAGTTAGCTTACTGCACAACACCTCCCACAGGTTGTAACACTTGTGGTTGAGAGTCGAATGAGTTTCAGCACAGAAACAAGTTGGCTGTATAAATGGTTGAAATAATAATGAAAAGAAGGGCTAAACAGTTCAATCAGATTACTTATTGAAAATCTGCCACTCTCAAGTGTTAGTAGTGAAAGTGGAACTTTACCAAACTACCTCAACATTGACAATATCATTATGAAAAGATCTTTTAACAATATCCCCTTTTATATAATTATCAGTGTTTAAAAACATTCAGTTTATAATTCATTCAACGTAACATAACATTTTGAGCTGGTGTTTTTCTAAGAATGGGCAAAAATGATTTAGTATGAACGAGATTAAAACGGCATGTCCATATTTTTCATTTTCATTGCATTCAATGTATCCTGTCATTTTAATACCTTTTTAACTATGCTTCTAAAGGTGGATTATGTGACTTATTGTCTCTTTTCTTGAGAGTTTATCCTCCATCCTAACTCTTGTATCTTCTGTTCTCACTCCATCACTGTCTGTATGCCGGTCACACACGCTATTGTTTCCTCTCGTCTCTCTAGCTCCTGGCTCAGGTATCCAGGAAGACTGCATTTTGTCTTCAACGTGGTGGAGTTCCCAGCATGCATTGCGCGGCCCGCGGGGAGGCGAGGGCTGTGCACCGGTTGGCTGTTTGACCTCGTCCATCCAGTCCCGGTTTTCCAAGAGAAGGCTGCATGGCCACAGGTAATGAGAACGCTGTGAACTCATGACTGATTTATTTCTAAGGGCTCTTATTTGAGAGTGCTGGAATAAATGCAATGGAGAAAACAAATACGTGTACCGCTGCTAGCTAGGTTCAAACCCACCCTTTATTTTGACGTCCCTTCTCTTTGCCTTACTCTTAAGTTTAGTATCGAAAAAAAACGAGCTGGACTGAACATTTCTCCTGTAAATAATACTTTTGTTTTCACGTAGAAAATACATTTGGTACATTGATAGCTACTAGTGTTCAGCTTAGTCTCTACTATTGTACATCAATTTAATACAGGGGTATCTTCTCTTGCACTGTATGTATCGATGCTGCTATATTGTATTACCATGTCCTAACTACTTGGGTATTCTACTCTTACTGCATTTTATGTATTTGTACTGCTATGTTTGTCATTTTCATTTTCTTAATGTTTCATGTGAGGGACTGCGGATGGAAAGTAGCTCAAAGCTAAATCCGGCATATTTACACTTTCATGTTTTAAGTGTTCATTAATGTGCAATGTCCCTGCCAAATAAACAAATAAATAAATAAATTGACAAGCCATAACATAGTTGACCTCCACTTGAAGGCGTACAATATTTAAACCAAAATGATAACCTGTAAATAGTACAATACATATACACATTTGAGCAGCATCTCAGGAAACGGTGCAGTGTCTTCATGAAGCTGCTGAACTCAAAGCATCAGGGATTCAACCTTCCCTTTTTACTGTATGTTTTTGGCAGCTCTGTGTGTGGTTAATTAGGAAATTAATTTAAATTAAAGCAAGTTAAATCCTCTCCAGCACAGAGTCTATGGAGCGCATGAGTTTCCCTGTTAGAATATTAAGTAGATCCATTAATAGATTGGTCGGCCTGCAGTGGTTCCTCAGCTCGTTGTAATTACTCTCATTTGTAATTTAAATCTTCATTGTCACATTATACATGGCATTAACATGCTGGTTACCACAACATAACAATCATGTAACAAAAGGCTACGGATACGTCTTCATGATATTATAATCTTGAACATACATGTAACTATTAGCTATTGTTCCAGTCAAATGTCTTTTCTATAGAGTCCATTTTCCCCACTTTCTGTTGAGTTGTGTCTCAAATTATACGTCCATCAAAAAGATTTCTTCCACAATTGTTACCCTTTGTTTTTTCTTCCTTACCCCAATTCCTAGTGATAGCTTTCTCGCTGGATATTAGCAGAATTATTATTTTTATTTTTCAGTTTTTCACAAATACAGTATGTCCAACATTTATGACAAAAAGTTGCAAACCCACATGGGAGGGCAGTTATTCAGAATCAATGTATATATTTTGGACACAGCCCCTTTATTAAATGGATTTACATTAAAGGGGACCTATCATGCAAAATGCACTTTTTAATGTCTTTTATACATAAACATGTGTCCCCGGTGTGTCGGGGAACTCACGCTGCGTCAGAAAATAAAACCCTCTCTCTTTTCCTCCGTACCCAAATCTCTAAAAACGGAGCTGATCCAGATTTGCGGCCGATATGACGTAATATCTGAAATGTGGACCCACGGCCCTATCAGAAACGTTGCTATCAGAAACAATGCCCGACTGTTTTGGACGTAATATGGTCGGTGTTTACATTAGCATGGCTAACACTCAGAGCTAACCTGTACTGGAGAGCATGTGTGTGAAGAAGCAGGAAATAAAAAGGAACTCACCTTGTGGTATAACCGGCAAGAGAGAAAGCCTTTGAGCTCCATACTGTTTCAGAAACAATCCTTCATCTAATAATCCTTGCGTTTCATCACCGCAGCATTTTAGACAATATCTGCCAGGTCCCGCATGAGCCGGCATAAGCTCCGCCCCCTCTTATTTTTTTACAGTAAAAAAAAAAAAAAGCTTTTTTAAATTTTTTTTAATTTAGCTTTTATTTATACAGGTGAACATCTCATTGAGACACAGGGTCTCATTCTCAAGAGAGACCTGTTTATACCCAGAATCAGCACTTTTGTAACAGGAAGTGAAATAGAGGGATATGAGGCATGGCTAGAATGGGTGATCTGTTTTTGTTTTTTTAGCAAAACACTTCATAAACATGTTTTTTATATTTTTGTATATATAAGAACTGAGTGAGCTAGATCTTTAGAGGGTGGACATGGATATCCTGGAAAATGTTTAGAAGCAAAAGACCGAGCCTAGAGGTACCTAAAATAGTGAGATTTTGGTATGTTGTGATCCCTGAATTGTCGTCACTTAAAAGATCTTGAAAATAGACGAAGCCACTTCTACGCCAAACAGCAAATGCCATGTCCAAAGATATTAGCAGAATTTTGATCAAATATCTGTCACTTGCTATAATTTCCTCTGTGAGTACCAAACTCTCATTATTTGTAAATGCTTTTAACTTCTGACCCCAGATCCATGTGAGTCTGAGACCTAACTCCCTCTTCCGGCCTCCTTCTGACCAATCGGTGCCCTTCATTATGATCGGACCCGGGACAGGAGTCGCCCCCTTCATTGGCTTCCTCCAGCAAAGGTATGAAAACACATTATCTTGCACCGTAACAAGTGACATTTTCACCAAGTAAGACAGACGTTCGGGGCTCTATGATGTGGGAAAATAATCCAATTGTGTATTTTTATGCTCATATTTATTCATTTTTTAGCTGTTTATTTTCATTTTTACAAATCAAAACATCTACAGTGATCCTAATGAGATTCCACCTCATCCTCAAGCCCTCAATAGCCTTATCGTGGTGTGTTTTGATATCCCCTGGTTTGCAAATGTCTTTTCGGATATAGGTATATCCTTTGTTTATACACCATAATATATAAATCTCTGCTTGACATTTGCACATATATGTGTAAAAAACAAAGTCTATATGGCCTGCGCTCCCAAGATTTTATTCAGATGCTGGTTCTTAAAGTGAGAACAGAACTGGGTAAACAAGCTTTTAAATATGCTGCCCCTTCTGCCTGGAATAATATACAGAAGGAGCTGAAACTGTCAGATGTTATCACTATGGAGGCGTTCAAGTCCGGCAGTGGCTCAGTGAGTAGGGGCTTGGACTGGGAGCTGTAGGGTCACCGGTTCAAGTCCCTGACCAGACCTAAAATATGGAGTGTGGACTACTACTTCGAGAGGTCCCAGTTCACCTCCTGCCCTGCCGTGGTGCCCTTGAGCAAGGCACCGGACACCCCCCTTCCCCCCTCACACAATAGCTGCCCACTGCTCCTGGTACTAGACTCCTGGTGCTAGACTCCTAGTACTAGACTCCTGGTGCTAGGATGGGTTAAAAGCAGAGAACACATTTCACTGTGTGTGCTGTGTGCTCTGCATGTGATACCATTACAGAGGGGTCATCCCTCCCAATTATATTCTACAAGGACAGAGAATAAGAATCCATTGGTCGATGTGATTGCTCGTATATCCCATAATTGAAGTCGTTTTAAAATGGTGCCAGTTTTTAATGTTTTAGTTTCTTTTATTTTGCATATTGACTGGTTAATGTGCCATTTCATTTGTGTTTTACAACAGCTGTATTCGTCTGCCTGTATTGTTTTGTGTTCATTTGTTGTAACTTTGTTCATGCTGCCCTTCTTGGCCAGGTCGCTTTGGAAAAAGAGATTTTACTTACCTGGTTAGATGAAGGATATATATATATATATATATAATAAGTGACATTTTCACCGTGTAAGAGAAGAACAAGAAGTTCAGGGCTCTATGATATGAGAAAATAATCCAATTGCGTATTTTTAGGCTCATATTTCACTAGCCTTATCGTGGTGTGTTTTGATATCCCGTGGTTTGCAAATGTCTTTTCGGATGTGTAATTATCATTTGTTTATATATCATATGTAAGTCAGTAATAATGTTGTTTATCAATTTGATACTGCTTACAGCGTACAGTATCATAATTCTCTTGTTTCCTTTCATTGTGAAGCATCAGAAACATGCAGGTTAAATCTCTGATTCACCCCGCAAACAATCTGCAGCCCTGAATATTCACACCGTTCAAATTAGGTGCACATCATCTGCATATTTTCGAGTAATCTGCAGAGACAATTAAACGAGGCCCTGCTCAAAACTCATAAAAGTCGACGTCATGCAGATCTCACAATAAATCTGATCACGTCGGAGATTATTTCAGATGCTTCACTCGTCTCAACAGGAATACATTAAACCCATTCACACGTTTATGACTCGGCTCGTAATGAAGAGGCAACGCGGCAAATGGAGCGTTATTGATCTGAAAGTTTAGAGTCCAGTAGGTGTGGTGGCCGTGTTGTTTTGGTGAGTCATTGCTTGTAATCGATGTGTAGTTGGTGTGAGGATATCGACTGTTAGCTGCGTACTCCTCTCCAGCTTGTTAAACCGTTGCTGTGAGTCTGAATCCTGCAGACATCGTGACAGTTTGTTTTCCGAGGTTTTGAATTGATAGCTGAATCAGGATTGCAGAAATGATGACCTGTCGGAACGATTTAATGTGACTGAAGCTCGCTGATAGCTGTGTGTGTTTCCCAGCCCTCTCAGACGGACATGTCTAACTCTTGGGTGGCTTAGTGTAAATGAGGTTATGCCCCAGTCAGCTCCAATTGTCTCTAAATTCGCCGGACGCCTGCTCTGTTGTGTGATCGCTCTGAGAGGTGAGTCAGGGGCGGATGTTCTGCCGGGAGGATGAGAGGTCGTGTGGGTAGAGAGCTGTCGGCACCCTAGGGAAGCGAGAGGACTAAAAATGGCACCCGTTTTCTGTCACACCCTCTCGCTGATCAAGGTAACGCCAAGGTAAAGAGGTGTGTGTGGTGTGTGTGTGTGTGTGTGTGTGTGTGTGGTGTGTGTGTGTGTGTGTGTGTGTGTGTGTGTGTGTGTGTGTGTGTGTGTGTGTGTGTGTGTGTGTGTGTGTGTGTGTGTGTGTGTGTGTGGTGGTGTGTGTGTGTGTGTGTGTGTGTGTGTGTGTGTGTGTGTGTGTGTGTGTGTGTGTGTGTGTGTGTGTGTGTGTGTGTTGTGTGTGTGTGTGTGTGTGTGTGTGTGTGTGTGTGACAGTGGAACTGAATAATGCAATTTCTCATAGTGTGAATACTGTTTCTGTGGAGCTGACGCAGCTACACTTCAACGCTGGATTTAATGTGTAAGAAAAAGGTGAAGAAGTAGGATAAGTGAGAATGGGTTTAACAAAAGTTGAAGTATAGCCATTATATAAAAAAGTTGGAAAGAAAATGGATTTAATGGAAGCTTGAGTTACATGAAAAAGTTACATTTTAAGACACATGTTGCCTTTTGGGGCTTTTATTCTGAAAAACTAGGTTATACCGTTGCTTTCTGTTATCTTACACTTACTGTTGTGGGCTTTTATTTTGAAAGCAAGCCTCATCCTGAGTCTCTAATATTCAGTTACCATCTGGGACTTAATGACTGTTGTGGGCTTCTATTTTGAAAGCAAGCCTCCTCCTGAGTCTCTAATATTCAGTTACCATCTGGGACTTAACATACATGACTGTTGTGGGCTTTTTAATTTGAAAAACAGTGCTTTTCCTGAGCTTCCTTTTAGGACACAATCTTTGATGTATAGTGTCCCTTTTAATATAGTCACATTTCTACCTCGGCATTGACACTAATAAACATACTTTGATCCTCACAGTGAAGCCCAAGCTTTGCTTGTTAAAATCTAATATATCAAAAACACATTCAGGTGATTTATTAATTCTCTGTCCTTGCAAACCTGGGAGCTAAACACTCAGACCTTGATGGATCTTGTTAGAGCAACACCTCATCAAATGCATCCTTGAGACTCCGATGTGGAATTGATTTAAAAATGTCTTTTATTAAATTTCAAATATGTTTTCCTGACGAGAGGCTCTCCATTCTGTTGGAGTGTAAACTGAAGTGAACCCTCTCCCCTGGCAGCGCTGTGTTGTTTGTACGTTTGTTGAGAGCCTTTCACACAGAACCTGAGATTCCTAACAAAGCCTCGGCGGCTGATTCTCTCTCAGATAGGAGATAACAATCTGCAGGTAGTCAACGGGGCGCTGTTCCTGCCTTTAGGCCAGACAAGAGTCCTGTTAGCATCAGAAAAACACGGGGACACTTCGATCCCCCCCTTCTTCCCCTGCTGTTAATCGATGGCTGTTTTCAAAAGAACGACTTTGTAGCTGCTGTAACAAGAAGAAAGTCTCTAAAGGTCAGAGGCTTGCTTCGGGGTACAGAGAGATTTGAATAACCGCCCCCCTAGTAGTCTGCTATTGATTGTTGTCGTCTGCCTAGAAGGATTGTATAGGGCTTGTGTTTTTTAGCTGGGAGCAGTGATAGTTCAACAAATATTAGAGTAGTTAGCCTTGATTTACTTACAATTTGTTTACACATTTTATTTACATTGAGGTCTGCCAGCAGTTATACATTCAATATGACAATTCTTATTACGTTTGTGTGTTCAAATATAGAGCTTTATCAGTCTGTCCAGACAGCTGATTATAATAAGGCCGCAGCATCTTCCCACTCTCACGCATTGTCTTGTGTTTTTAAAAATATATAAATGGGTGTAATTCTGCAATGTAATTTCAGGGATTTAAGCCTGGAGCTGTTGTTGTCGTTGGGCTTGTTGTCTTATTTTTACGCCTTAAAAAACAACTCTCTTCTCTCACAGAGCTGTAAGGAAAATGGATGAAAGATTTGAGATAATTGGGATGCTTATAAACCAAGTGTTCACCCAGCTCTTTACCGCAGTGTCCCTCTCATGCTGATCAGCTGAAAGGCCTCTGATTTCAACCCCAAATAGAGCACTCTGCCTCCTCTGGGATTGGGTTTTGGGCCGTTAGTGCCGGCATGTGATGTGATGTGATTTGTATTCAGAGAAAGGCGCCGGTGTGGTCTGCTCAGAATGGAATCCAAGTTTTTTCATATTGGTATTGATCCCTTTAGGGCAGGCGGCGAGAGGAGACCGACGAGCACTAAAATGAGTTTACTTCAGGCTGTTTGCAGATCAGAGGAATCTCGTCCAGGATGCTAATGGACGGGATCCGAGCGTTTTGGATCCAGACAGAGAGGAGATCAAAGAAACTTCTCAGTTAATTAAAAAAAAGGGAAGGTTTGTTTACCATCACATTTTTGCATGAATGTGTTTATCCTTTAGTCCAAGCTGACGTCTTCACAGTGTGCGTGATTTCTGTCTCAAAGATGAATCCACACGACATAAAACAAAACAAATTACCACATTTAAAGAAGCTGAAGTCTGTCTTTGCTTGATCAACCACTTTCAATATAGTCCCACTCTCCATCCTTTAGTATCACTACAATGTTGCACAAGGGGGGAATTCTGTCTGTACTACCTTAAATCTGAGTTTAAGGTGCACATCAAATAAAAAAATGTTAACCATCCATTGCTCATACTCTAAGAATCTTTCAGGGACCGTCAGAGCAAAGATAAATGACACAACAGCTACAGTGAAGTCTCAGGCTCCTCTAACAGTGCAACACAAGATATATAAGACCTAAAAAAGTCCAATTAAAATGCAGGATAAAGTAAACTATGTACATGACATGAAACAGAGTAAGATGAAACACTATAATACTCTTTGTAAATGGTAAATGGACTGTACTTATATAGCGCTTCATCCAGTCTTTAAGACCCCTCAAAGCGCTTTACATACTACATGTCGTTCACCCATTCACACCCATTCATACAGAGCAGTGCACCTAACTCTAGGAACTAACATTCACACACATTCACACTCAGGCTTAAGTATCTTGCCCAATGATACATCGACATGTTGACTGCATGGGCTGGGATCGAACCCACATCCTTCTGGTTGAAGGACGACCGCACTCCCTCGCAGCCACAGTCGTTGTAAGGTGTAATGGTGAATATTTAGCACGTTTTGAAAAAGAAAACATGCCTTTCAATCCGCCCAGTGGTTGTGGTTTTCTCAGTCTTCTCCTATCATGATGCAATGAGTATTTTGAAGAGTATTTTTTACGTGCGATGATGATTCATTTAACTCAAACTAATGTATTCATTGACTACATTTTCGTTACCAGAAAACCAGGCACCAAGCCGAAGAGTTGGAAGCATGATTCAGGCTGTTGCTGAATATCAATGAAGGAAAGCACCACTCTCTGTATTAGTTCAAGATTAACAGTAACATGTCTGTGTTTACAACTTGTAAACATTCTCCCAAAAGATCCCAGAGCCATAGCAGACAAATCATGATCAAAACCAAGCGTTTTTTTTCCGATTTGATGTTGCTAAACTTATCGATTAATCCACTTATTATCGCGGCAAAACATTTGTAAGCACCAGAAACCAAGCTGAAGAGTTAGCTGCCGTTTTAAAAGTTGTGTTTCATGGAAAACACGATTCAGCCTGTTGGTGAAAAGCAAGGAGGAAGTTTAGAGGAAGCAGCACCTTATCCAGGAGGAGCAGCACGAAGACTCGATGCCTCTCAGTGGGACTCAAAGACTCCTCGTGGTGGTCTTTCCCCTCAAAACCCTCTTTATTCCCCTCTCTCTATCCCCCTCTCTTTATTCCCCTCTCTCTCTATCCCCCTCTCTCTATCCCCCCCCTCCCTCCAGACGGGTGACAGATAATTCGGGGCTCTCTGGGGAGTCGTCTGACTGATGGCATCATGAAAGGTTGGGGGTCACCTGTTGTTATCGGGGGGGGGGGGAAAGCTGTCACCTTTGCAGCAGGTGTGCGGCGCAGATATCTTAAGAGCCGCTTTGTGCCATCGCCTGCAAAGGATTCTGGGAGCTTTGCCAAACTCCCAAACCGCCAGAGCAGAGGGAATCACTTTTTTTGCAGAAGCAGTTTTTTTTTAGTTGGAGCTTGATTGCAGTTCATCTTGATGGGATGTATCCTTCTGTTTGGGTGAAATGTAATAATACGTATAATGTCCTCGCTGCAGCGGGCATTAGGTAATGGTGGCACTTTGTGTTCTGTCACTGCAGACGGTGCTTAATGGTGTCACTACTCTTCTTTAACCTCTGCAGCAGGAAGGACTCGCTCTCCTCCATCTGCTCCGCTTGTCTGCTGCTATTGATTGACCGCTAACATCCGCTGTTTGACTTTCAGGGAGATGGAGAGGAAGGAGAACCCTGACGCCATGTTTGGAGAGACATGGCTGTTCTTCGGGTGTCGCCACAGAGACAGAGACTACCTGTTCAGGTGAGTGTCATGTCAAATGATCATATAATCATTTAAAACATATAGTCTTATACTCTGATTGCACTGTTAAATTGTATTTTTAGTCTTGTATGTGTTTAACAGAGACATATGTTAAGGATTGACATGTGGTTATACTCATATATTATCATATTCTATGCATACTTCCCCTTACCTTTTGTGAGTCAGATGTACTTTGTGCTTCTGCATCTTGCTGCTGGTTTATCCATATTGAAATGTGTGACCTGCAAAATGTCTAGATGCATGATGTGGGTGTTCTTTCCTCAGCTGCACACATTAGCATTGTGCAAGGACGTATAATAAAAGGTAAACAAAGGAAACAGACATGCAGAGTTGGGTCAGTGAAGGCCACATGATCTCACGTCAGAGTGAGACTGAACAGGAATACAGCATTGTGTATAATCTCTAATGTGACTCGATATAATCACACTTCACTCATGGATCTAAAATGATTGGGGAATATTACACATTTGTCCTCTCTCTCCAAATGAACGCTCATTACGGGCATGCGTGTGGCGCAATGGATTAGTGCGTTGGTGTTGGGATCAGGGGAGGTTCAAACCCCACTGCAGTCAGCATGTCGTTGTGTCCCTGAGACACTTCACCCCAAATTGCTCCTGTGGGGATTGCCCACAGTATTGAGTATGTAAGTCGCTTTGGATAAAAGCGTCTAACAAGTGACGTGTAATGTAATGTAATTAAGCTAATGCTGCTCCATATGGCTACATGGTTAACAAATGTACTGCATGCTAACAAACGTGCCATGTTGTGTTCACAATGTGTTACGCTGGCCCCCACAAAATCAGTTAGTTTTTGCTACACAATTTGCTTTTAGAACAATGTATGAAATCTCTCATATTTATGAATATTTAAAAGTCTAAACTAGTAGAGTAATTAAAACTGTCAATGTACAGAAACCGCTTTAAAGAAGTACAATTTTTCTTATCACTGTAATAATTTTTACAATTTTTATTGCATGTTCCCAGGACCCTTACGTTAAGTGCGATGTCTGCAATGTTGTTGTGTTTTTTTCACATATTTTGACATTAAATTAGAAAGAGAAACCAATCCATCTTTATGTTGAAAGCTAAACCTAAATAGATTTGACAACCAGATTCAGAACTCGATGGAGAATTGATCAAATACATTGAACCACCATCCCTGATGCTGTCTTTATTATATTCTCTACCGTCTAAAACAAGTTGTTTCCAACTAAACTGTACTAATACTACACCTCCTTTCTTGCATTGAACGCTTGTTTTCTACACTGATATCCACCTCCTTGCTTTTTATCAGTGTGTTTTGGCTCTTATATACACCCTCATTGATCGGCTCTTTCCAGTATCAGCGTGTATTAAAAGCTGCTGCAGTGAGTTATTCTGCAGGATTAAACAGTGCGCATGGATTAGCATCCTTAATCACACAAGAATAGATCACAGAGGACGCTCCCCTTTGCTTCCCCTATCCTTTAGTTAAACACCGACTCACAGCCAGGTAGTCGTGGCTGGTTTGTTCACAGTGTGGGCTTCTCTGATGAACCCCCCCCCCCCACTGTGTTGACCAAAGCGATTAGTCTGTGTTTTATGAGCCACCCGCAAAGAGTTGTACTCAATTTGAATAGGTTAGCAGAATAATAACAACATACCTGCAGCTGAGTCTCCTGCCTGCATTCATCTCTAAAAGGAATACTATTTGACATGTGGCTTTGCCCCTGCTTAGCATACTTTCAGCAGTTTTATTCCACATGCCATATTTCTTAAAGAAAAGTTCAGTAAGTAGGGTTTTTGAATATTTGAACTTGCATAAATAGAGCATGGCTGGCTTTTTAGGCTTATTAACAGAAGTGGGAAGTAATGAAGTACATTTACTCAAGTAGTACCAAACCTATTTAGACATCATTTCAGAAGCAAATATAGAATAGTTTTATTGCAAAACATACATTTACCACTCGTAGTTACCTTTTACTTATAAAAACATTTAATAGGCTTATACGATGTGGTGGAGTGCTGTACTACCAATACATAAAAACAACCATAGAATTTAAAAAAGTATATATAAATGCCCCCACAATTACAAACCACATCTTCACAATGCTCTCCCATGTATACTATTCTATACAAATATAATACTGTGAAAAGAGTACTTCTCCTTTTGATACGGAGTACATGTAGCTGATCCATACTTCTACTTAATGTATATATTTCAGGAGTAATTCAGGACTTTTACTTGTTATGAAGTATTTTGATACCTCGTTATTTGTACTTTTACTTTGTTGAAGATATCTGAGTACTTTTTCCACCTCTGCTTAAAAATATGGAGGCAGGATGTGACCAGAGGTGGAAGAAGTACTTTAACAAAAGGTAACAGTATTAATACCAGTGTAGAAATACTCCGTTACAAGTAGAAGTCTGGCATGACAACATGTTTCTTCAGTAAAAGTATGAGAGTATCAGCATCAAAATATATGAAAGTACTATAAAGTACTCATTATGCAGAATGGCTATTTTTGAAATAACATGAATTATATCACTGTATTTTAGTAAGTGATATATTCATGCGTTTAATTTGCAACTTTTAAAGGTGAAAGCCAATTAAATGTGTTTACTTTCAGGTATATTAATCAATAAAAGAACATCATAATGTATTAGATTTGTTTAGATTAATAACCCATGGTATTGGAGTAGTAGTAGCTTTGAGTTACTCTGTTGATGACCTTGGACAGGGTGGGTAAGTATTATAAGTAGTTTTTGCTTATGAAGAACTTTGTGTTACCTGAAGTACCTCAAAAAAGTATAAATGGATGTGACCAGCTTTTTTATCGTGTTCCTAATTTCCATCCAAAAGGAAACGAGGCTTCTCAATCAGCAGCACTTACTGTCCTGAGAGGATGATGCCAATCTTCCTGGGTGTCACATTAAGCTGCTTCCCCCTCTCCCTCCCTCCCAATCTGCCTGGGTGTCACACCAAACTTCTCCCCCTCTCCCCCGCGCTCCTCTGCCTCTTCACGGCCAGTGTTTTCTTGCTGTGGAAACATCACTGAAGACCTGCTGGGTTCACGATAAGGTGTGTGTGGGTTGCCCCAGGCTGTGTGTGTGTGTGTGTGTGTGTGTGTGTGTGTGTGTGTGTGTGTGTGTGTGTGTGTGTGTGTGTGTGTGTGTGTGTGTGTGTGTGTGTGTGTGTGTGTGTGTGTGTGTGTGTGTGTGTGTGTGTGTGTGTGTGTGTGTGTGTGTGTGTGTGTGTGTGTGTGTGTGTGTGTGTGTGTGTGTGTGTGTGTGTGTGTGTGTGTGTCACAGAAGTCAGCAGGTTTACACTCTCTGAAACTCTCTGCTGTTTTTATAACGAGTCAACCGTCCTCTCTCTTCCTCCAGTTTCTCCTCACACATCTGATGGTTATAATGACACCAAACTGAACCATCTTTTTATTATTCATGCGACTTCTCTCCTGTTCACACAGACGTTGTAATCGCACAGTTGACTACATCATCAGTCAAAGGTTAGACTGTAGTGCTCTGTATTGATATATTTGAGATACTGTTAGCATAAAATCGACTGTTAATATGCAATATCCTTCAATTTCCCACAAGTTATTTGCACAAACAACTGTCATAGTATATGAACAGACCAGCATATGTGTAACATCTAAAGAAAAAAGTATATTTTGGTCAAAATAATGAGATTTTACACCAACAATCAAAAGTTACACAGTAGCGCTCTGTATTGATTATATTCCGAAACTGTAAGAAAAGTGATATTTGGCCAGTTTTTCCATTTTATTTCAGGAAAACTGTCCGAGTATACAGAACTCACTACCTGCATACAAATATGAGTAAAGAAAGTTGACTTTTCAATACAATCAGAAGAGTGGGATCTACTTTTGCATCTTTTTGGTCAAAATAATGACTTTTAAAACAGCTGTGTGTAAAAAGAGGGAGACACACGTATGATGTAAGAGACGCTATTTTCACCTGATATCCATATTTCAGTTTTTTTATATCACGGTGATCCTTAAACCTGGTATAAAGCACCATCCTAGTATTCATTTTAAAAACCATACAGTGTTTTTGAGATCCATGCAGGATCACAAAACATAATATCGTGATATTAAGGTCTATTAATATATTATTACACATTTATAAAATGGAATTTTAGTGCAGAAAGGCGGAGAGAGAAACCTTAACTGTACATGAAAGAAGAAACAGGAATTATTTAAGAGACGCTGGATTAATTGCTATATTTTAATATTTGATATCCGTTAATTAAAAACCAATTCAGTGTTTTTGAGAATCGATACACAGTGTCTGAATACCTAATATATTTGTGCTGCCATTAGATTGTACGCATTTGTGGAGAAGCAACATTTTCTGTCAGAACAAAGACAGCAGTACTCATCCCTCCCTTTAGTATGTACTCCGCTGTGTGTGTGTGTGTGTGTGTGTGTGTGTGTGTGTGTGTGTGTGTGTGTGTGTGTGTGTGTGTGTGTGTGTGTGTGTGTGTGTGTGTGTGTGTGTGTGTGTGTGTGTGTGTGTGTGTGTGGTGTGTGTGTGTGTGTGTGTGTGTGTGTGTGTGTGTGTGTGTGTGTGTGTGTGTGTGTGTGTGTGAAAATACCTTATTTCAGACTAGGGGTTGCTGCAAAACACAGACCCCTGAGGCGAGGACCTTCACCCATGATCCCGGAGATGCCGCTTGTTATGAGTGTGTGTGTGTGTGTGTGTGTGTGTGTGTGTGTGTGTGTGTGTGTGTGTGTGTGTGTGTGTGTGTGTTGTGTGTGTGTGTGTGTGTGTGTGTGTGTGTGTGTGTGTGTGTGTGTGTGTGTGTGTGTGTGTGTGTGTGTGTGTGTGTGTGTGTGTGTGTGTGTGTGTGTGTGTGTGTGTGTGTGTGTGTGTGTGCGTGCCTATTCGGACTGCTTAACTTAAAACAAGCTGCTGTGAGCACACTAAACCTCCCTCCCTCCCTCACCTCCTCCTCCTCCTTCCTCCTTCCTTTCCTCCCAACAGCTCCCTCGGCTCTGTAGAGACGGCGAAACAGAAGAAGGAGTATTTGGCAGGCGAAACCCCGACAGAGATCGAGGTTACCCCCGACTGAAGGCTGCACGATTGATTTACAAAATATGCTTATAACAGAGGCTCGACCTTGCTGATGAAATCCATATTTTTGGGGGGATTTGTCTCATTAAACACGACAAATTGGTTGTCTTTCACAGTTGTGCTCAGACCTTTCGCCCATCGCTGCGCTGCTTCATCAAGCCTGACAGTTTAGGAAATGTTCTGGGGTTATATATGTCTCGTCTTAAATGTAGCTAAATATAAAGCGGAGGTTAGATGTGAAAGGTTGCATATGCAAACTGTTTTGAATACTTGGCTTTATAAGGCTGGCGTTTTCTATATTCCTAGGTTACAATACACATTTACATGTTTCCAAGTAAAAGTAACGGTACGTCCACACGGCAGCGTGCGTTGAAGCTTGCCGGTGGGCATGTCTGAAGCTCGACCAACAACCAATCACATTAATCTCCCGCCCCGGAGACACAAGCACGCGGTTTGATTGGCTGGAGCTTGTACTGGCATATGATTTGATTGGTTGCTTGAAAACCAAGCTGAACTTTTCTCAACTTTCAAAGCGAGCAACGGAGGCAAAGCGACGCGAAGGAACCACAATGCAGTTCGGCAAAGCCTGACGTCACCCCATTCAAAGTGAATGGGAAGCGTCTCCGTTGAAGCAACGCATGCTGCCGTGTGGACGGGCCGTAAACTCAAGTAAAAGAAGAAGTATTGGCATCAAAATAAACTTAAAGGACCAAAAATAAAACTAGTCAATATGCAGTAGGGCCCATTTCTGTATCAAAGACATTCAATTATGCTATTATAAATATTTAGGCATTATTGTGTTAATCGTTTCAATGGTGCGCTTTAATTGAGCTTTTCTGCTTGGTAGCTTAACATACAGAGATATATCATAATCTATTAGATGATTGATATTTTGTATTAATAATCTAAATATGTAAGAAGAATATTCGGTACTGCAGTCGCTTTACCGCACCGTTGTGACGAAAAGGGAGCTGAGCCAGAAGGCAAAGCTCTACCGGGCCATTCTCGTTCCTACCCTCACCTATGGTCATGAAGGATGAGTCATGACCCAAAGAACGAGATCGCAGATACAAGCGGCCGAGATGGGTTTTCTCCGCAGGGTGGCTGGCGTCTCCCTTAGGGATAAGGTGAGAAGTTCAGTCATCAGGGAGGGACTCGGAGTTGAACCGCTCCTCCTTCGCGTCGAAAGGGGCCAGTTGAGGTGGTTCGGGCACCTAGTAAGGATGCCACCTGGGCGCCTCTCTAGGGAGGTGTTCCAGGCACGTCCAGCTGGGAGGAGACCGAGGGGTAGACCTAGGACCAGGTGGAGGGATTATATCTCTTCGCTGGCCTGGGAGCGCCTTGGGACCCCCCAGTCAGAGCTGGTTGATGAGGGGAAAGGAACGTTTGGGGCTCTCTGCTGGAACTGCTACCTCTGCAACCCGACCACGGATAAGCGGGAGAAGAGGGATGGATGGAGAAGTACCTGAAGTTTTACTTAAGTATAATACTTGAGTAAATGTACTTATTGACATTGCACTGTATATTCTCCATTAAATCCTCTATCTATCCCTCAAAGCTGCTTTTCAATTCACTTCTATATCATCTTTTCTCTTCTAGATTTGGAGAGAAACCTTTCCTCAAATCAGGAAGAAGATTTCCGAAATAACTTGGAATTAAATTGGACTAACAATGAGCTGAAATAATGTGTCTCTGTCACCCTTGTCTCAGAGAGGAGTTGGAGGGCTTTGTTTCCAGCGGAGCACTGAGCCATCTGAAGGTGTGTTTCTCCAGAGATGATCCGGAGGAAGAGGAGGAGGAGGAGGAAGCACCGCCCAGATACGTGCAGCACAACCTGCTGAGAAACAGAAAACACGTCACCGACATCCTGCTCAAACAGAAGGGCTTCCTCTATGTCTGCGGGTAAGACTGAACATTCACATTTAAATATATTTTATTCTCGATTCATTTGCCATTATTTCCTCGGTTAGTTGTCTTTGCTTTAACATTTTGGAAACGGTAAATAAATGGGTCATCACAGTTTGATCTAAGTGTGATAAAGTTTGTTGGTTTTATTGAATTAAATCCACTTTATTTGTTAAGTTCAACTCGTGAATAAGCAAACTTTTAAGCGCGGTACAAATATTTTAAGGTTAAACGCCAACAACTATGGATCGAAGCCGGATGTTTACTTGGATAAAAACATGTTTTAAAAATGATAGCAATTTTACTTTTGAAAATAAATATTGACTTTTGGACTTTACAACACTTATGTTTGGATCACATGACCCTGGGACAATCCTACGCATCCACCGCTGGAATATAACTCTCCTTATAATATTAGTGTAGCTACATTTGAACTGCAGACTTAACTTGAAGTCTTCAAACACAATGAAAAGACAGCATTCGAATGTCACTCCAATGTCAACAATATGAATATGAATGAGCTTTAAACAGCCTTACTTTAACAGAGAGAGTCACAAACTAAACTGAGCAGACTTTGTGAACTTTGAGCTGTATCCGGTGCTAAATAACGACTATATTAATGACTCTAGGAAGGCACTTATTCAATAGAAAAATAAGAAACTGTGCTGAAGTGATGTTGTGAATTGTCTGCTCACATCACCTCTCTAAGTCCTCAAACTGATGCAACATGTTGGACAGTTGATAGTGTTTGTATACGCTATACATACATATTGTTCCTGTCAATACAAGCTAAACAAAAGTCGAGTCATGTCAACACTTGTTTATCTCAGTCTGAGAGTTTCTCATCACGCTCACCTTTGAGTAAACGATCTTTGAAGCTTCAGTCCTGTGTGAATTCCTCAGAGTAGTAGAAATCACTTGAGGTGCTCTGGATGATGAATCTGTTCAATATGCTGCAGCAGCAAGACTCAGACACAGCAGTTTCCTTCAGGGTGATCTCCTGGAAGCTGCTTTTTTTACTAAATATAGGTGTTCACTGTGCACAGAGCAGGGTTTGAACAGATTAGGATTGTACAGGGTTCTTACGGTCATTAAAAACCTGGAAAAGTCATGGAAATGCAAAATGCAAATTCCAGGCCCTGGAAAAGTTATGGAAAATAATATTTTTCCCCAAGTTTTGGAAAAGTCATGGAAATGTAACTAAAGTTGCATCAAATATAATTTATATTTTAGCTAATCGCCGAAATAGTAATACTATAACGATAATAAATACTGTATCGTATAGTAATGAAACGTAAAATGGCATTTAACTGACAACATGCAGACCTTATATCCTGTTCCATGTTAAAATAAACCATTTTCAGTGGTACTGCTGAGAAAGAGTAATTTTTTGGTCATGGAAAATTAGGTAAAGATCATGGAGAAGTCATTGAAAATCATTGGTGAAAAAAACAGTTTCACAAGTTGTTCTGTTTGAGTCTTGATTTCTTGAGTTTATTCTCGTGTTAGCCGGATGTTTTTAGATTTTAGTTTGGCTTGTGTTTTTACAGAAAGGTTTAGTTTAATTGTTCTTAGGACCAGGTATAATATCTCCCAAGTGTCCCAAGTGTAATACTACTATATATACATATGAAATACAAGGTTGGAAAGTGGTGTTTGAATGGCCTTGAAGTTAAAAGTTTGTTATGGTTCTAAATTTGGATTATCTCCCTTAAGTTTAATTTCTGTTTCAATGTCAAAAGATTGGACTGAAATTCACTTTTTTCTGTACCGATATACAATATAGTTTAGATGTATTATTGTACCTAATGATATTGTTGTTATATTGTCTTGATTTTATTCTCGTTTTAGCCGGATGTTTTTAGATTTTAGTTTAACGGTTTAGTTTCATTGTTCTTAGGACCAGGTATAACACTTCCCGAATGTTTACTTCTATATACATATGAAATACAAGGTTGGAAAGCGGCGTATGAATGGCCATGAAGTTAAACGTGTGTTGTGGTTATAAACTTGGCTTATCTCCCTCATTCCAGCAGCAATTTTTAGCGTTTAATGTCCGTGTTTTGATGTCAAAGATTTGCCTGAAATTCACTTTGTTCTGTAGCTATATACCAGGGGTATTCAACTAAAATTCAACGAGGTCCAGTTAGAGAAAATCTCCCCATGCAAAGGTCCGGAACATCAAAATGTCTAAGTTGCTTTATGAATTAGTGTGATATATATTGAAGTAGCCTGTAGCTTTATCAACGTCTGCATGTAATCAACAACTGCCAATCAAATAAAGAAAGTACAATTCATAAACAACAATATTTATTGTCAATTAACATTGAACTATACAGATATACAGTAAATACTGTGGATATGTGTAATGTTCCTCTCGGGGCTGCATTTAAAAATAAAATAGAGAAAATAAATAAAATAGCTTTTGAAAATATGTGCATCTTAAAAGTGCTTAATTTTAGATAAATAAAATAAAGTGTAGCTGCAGCTTGAGTTTCCCTTTTTCTTTGTTAACCGTTTCACATCATGACCTAACAGTTTCAGCCGATTATAGAACAATATCAGTCTTTACACATCATAACAATTGAACCGTTTTAAAGTTTCTCTTTCTTTCCCTCTTATATTGCAGTCGCTCACTCACTTTTTATTAATTCAGTGCGAGAATTGAGCTTGAGCTTGTCCTGCCAGGAGTTCAAATCTGGGCTGAAATGGTGTCAGGGCCATTCTCATACACACATGCAGGTGCTCATTGGTTAGCCTCGGTTAGCCTGCCCTGGAACGATATTTAGTTTTAATTTTTATCCTGGTGAGCTGATCATATTGGGCTCTGAGACTGCTTATTTTTTGTGACCTCCGTTCTGACTTGAGAGGGAATGTTTGGTCAAACACTTTGTGTTTTGTCTCATAGTGGCGTTTTGGCACTTTTAATGAGCGCCACGGTCTCTGAACAAATGAGACACACTGGCTCCGTGCTCCCAGTGGGCAGGATGAACATGAATGAGTCCACTCAGGGTTAAAAGCTCTGTTCTCACTTTCCTCTTCTTGGAGAGCGCCATGTGTAATTATTTGTCTCTCCCTGTCTGCCGCTAACACGCCTGTTCACTCTCCTCTCCGTCTTCTCTCCCTGTATCGCTAATTATTCTCTTCACTCACTTTCCTCTCCGCTTCTATCTGCCGCGCTCTCATCTCTTCTTCTGTGTTTCTCTCCCTGTATCGCTCACTCGTCTCTTTCGCCCCCTGTCGGCAGCGGTTAAAATAGAATCGCCCCGTCAAAATTGAAATCCCATATTAATGTATTGATTATAGGTCCGGGTCCGTATAGGTCGGCGTCTGGGTCCGGATCCGGACCGCGGTCCGCCTTTTTGCGACCCCTGCTATATACAATATCATTTAGATGTATTGTTGTACTTAATTATATTGTGTTATATTGTATTTCTATTATCCATGTGTGAACTATTACCTGTCCTTTCTTATCTTATAGCTAAAAAACTGAATAGATTTTTTGTTGATTTGATTTTATGTTTAGGATATCATTTTGTTGAGTTTTTAACAGCTTATTTTCAGCTCATTATTACTTCCAATAACCCCGTCTTAGACACATGTAGGACTGCCCTAAAACCATTTCTATGGATTAGACCGCCTTTCCTCTGACTTACTCTCCCTTTCTTCTCCCTCAGAGATGCTAAGAACATGGCTAAAGACGTGAACGACGCGCTGCTGGAGGCGATCAGAGCGGAGCTGCAGGTGGATCAGCTGGACGCCATGAAGACTGTGGCCCTTCTGAGGGAAGAGAAACGCTACCTGCAGGACATCTGGGGCTGAGCACAGATAAGGACATTTTGCTGCATCCACTGGTCCTTTTAACACCTTTTGGAAGAGACTAAAAGAAGCATGCTCAGCTGTAACCTTTATAACCGTAAAATCGTGGATGCTGGAGGTAGTTTACACCCCCCACGGCCGACCCTGGGGTTCACTGCATCATCGGGGGCTTTGCTGTTTGAACAGAAAGGATTCTGGGTCACAGCAATACTGCAGCAGATTGGTCCTGCAGTGTGAAAATGCTTTTAGTGCAGACTCCTCCGTTCATCCTGTCTGGGGAAAACATTTCACTTTGTGATGAGACTGGCAGCGCTCCGACACAACACCCTGAAGTCATCCAGGAAAGCGTTGATAGTCAATCAGGAAGTGGTTTTTACCTCTGAAGTGATTCAGGGTCAATTCCTTCATTTTAAAGAACACATAAATCAGGATTTGAAAATTGTATCTCAATCCAAAAGTTGGTTGGATTGGTTTTTAGTTTAACCAAAATTCTGCTGTGCTTTTAACCTATTTTTGAGGTAATTAAGACAAATTTTAATCCTACAACAAGTCCCATTTTATAGCCCATCCTCACATTAATCATTATACTGTAAATGTCAATGATGATGCGCTGCTCGGACCAGAAAAACAAACCCTTTCGTCCCCCACTCACCCGGGAGTTTTTCCTAACTCCTGCAAAACCCAATTTCAATCCAGAAAACTGTAATTACAACAAACACAGCTGTGCCTTGTGTGATCAGGAATTAAAAAGATGAAATGATTGCCGTCTACAGTGTTCCTTCTGTGCACTCAGGTGTGTTTGTACATGACCTTACAATGAGCATGAAGCAGGGGATGCTTTTTGTTGTGTATTAATGATGCAAAGGGGAATACTTTAGAAGTTAATACACTCTGATTGATTGGAAGTGATGTTCGGTATTCATTTCGGGATGATATGAAGGTGACTTTGGTGCTAAGATGAAGGCGTACTAATTGAAGGGTTTTTGCTTCTTAGTGCAGCGCCGAGCCCCAGAGACGAGAAGCTTCTCAGAATTAAATCTTCTAACGGCAGCCTTTTTATTTATCCTCCAGGAGGGGAAACATGTTTACACTCCCAGCTGCTGCTCCGTAGATGACACCCCCATTCGCAAAACAATCTTTTGAGCCGGGTAAACAAAACATTCGCAGTGGCAGAAAACAACGTCTGAAAGTGAATAATTGGTTTAATACAGAGCTGTCGGAGGTAGAGCTGCACCTCCGACGCCTCATCTCTCAAGTGTGCTGCTGCCCAGCCACAGGAGGACAAATCAAAATAATGATACACACACACACACACACACACACATAATGATACATGGCCTCCTCTTAACGCAGGGCTCTAATTTGCAGAGGGGAAAAATGACAACATCGTGCATGAATGCTGCAACAACAAGGAGTTGTATCACAGTGTCGAGAGGGGGGTCGTTATCAGTGAAGAAGATTAAAACCGTGAAATTAATTATTGATATACTTGAGTTTTGCAATACTGTATTTAAGGATCCTTCACGCAGCGTCCACACGGCAGCGTGCGTTGAAGCTTGCCGGTGGGCGTGTCTGACGCTCGACCAACAACATGATTCTCCCGCCCCGGACACACAAGCACGCGGTTTGATTGGCTAGAGCTTGATGATTTGATTGGCTGACGCTTCCGTCGAAGCTTCAACGCACGCCGCCGTGTGGACGGGCCGTAAAAGATGTGTAGGTTATAGTCTATATGAGGGGTGTTGCTATTTATTGGTATTTAACATAACTGTAATTTTTAACAAATGAACTATTGTTGACACTTTTAATAATACACATATCATATCTTTTAAATAATCCAGAGCCTCCCAATTCATTCGCCAAAAAAGACACTAAAAGCACATTTATATATATTTCTTTCTGTAGATTCTGCGTTAATGTGGTTATCGTTAAATCTCTATATTTCGCTCAGTTTCCATTTTAATTTTACGCTATTCTTTTACATCAACAATCCTGCAATAACTTTCTTTTTCCCTTTCTGTTCATTCCCTTGATTATTGCACAAAAATGCCTTCATGGTGGAGGTGATAAATGCAACTGCAGATCCCACATACAAAAGATAACTCTTATTTTTTCATTAAACTATGACAATATTAGTAAAATCTGAGTCCAAAAAGCTGAAAACAAGACCTTGCTTACAATGTATTTAATCATAAAGCCTGTGTCATTACACTGAAGTTCACTTTGAGCCGTTCTGCCCTTATTTACTAATAACATGCCCTCATCTCATATTAAAAATTGACCCGGCTGTAAGACGGAGAGGCTGCCGGCTGCCGGTGTCACCCCGTCCAGAGACCACGACTGATGAAGGTTTAAATAATGTCCTCATAATTAAAAAAGGGTGACAGTGTCGTCCCGCTGCGAAGGCGAAAATAACTCTGGGGGTCGGAGCGACCGCAGAACAGTCGCACGTAAAAGTTAGAGGGACTCGCCTTTTTAAGAAAAGAGGCAGAGAGAGGTGAGCTGCAGATAACGACCGTTATTATGAGAGGAGAGCAGTGTCAAGGAGCTCAGAGCTTTTTAAGAAAGGCCTGCTTGACACTCGGCTTCTTGGTGCAGAAAGTACAAGCAGTGAAGATGAGGAGAGTAATTGGGAGAGCATGTTCAGGTTCTCAGGATGTGCAGCTCAAAGGTAGTTTCAGGAGTAAACAGTAGAGACTCCTTTACGGCAAAAGTTGTGAATTCAACAATATATTTACCAGTTCATCTACAAAACTCAAGTTGTTAGTAAATTAGTAAATACTTTCTGGCGAGTTATAAAGAGCTAGTGACTATATGAGAACAACATACATTCAATTGGGACTGGGTTATCTAACGATTACTTGTTCATTGAGAAATCAGTCAATTAATATCAACATTCATAATTTGTTCGATAACATGACAGAAGAGATTGAATAATGTCCACCCCAGTCCCTCAAAGTCCACGCTGATGTCTTAAAATGTCTCGTTTTGTCGGTCCAAAACACAAATATATTCACATTTAAAAAAGAGAAAAGCAGGAAATCTCCATATTTAAGTCAGAAAACAGCTTTTTTTCCTGTGATTTTTGCATGAAAAACACGTATTATTCATTTATAATGAAGAGAAGGACCTTCGACACGAGGCTTTAAGGATTCAAATTCGAGGACATTTGATGAAAGTGGAAATCTTCGCCAAAAACAACTCTTTATACATTTCTTCTAAATCTCATTAAAAACCCATCTTCTATATCTAAAAATCTAAAAAGATGGATCAAACGACCGAACTATAAAAGACAAGAAGACAACATGTTTGCACTTTTCTTGCATTTCATGTATTTGTATTTGCTATGTTTGTAATTTTCATTTTCTTAATGTTTCATGTGAGGGACTGCGGATGGAAAGTAGCTCAAAGCTAAATCCGGCATATTTCATGTTTTAAGTGTTCATTAATGTGCAATGTCCCTGCCAAATAAACGATGAAATAAGTTAGATAAAACAACAGACAGTTTCCAAAGAGAGGGACGTCTCAGTTTCCCCGCTCTCTGACCAATCACAGCAACGTATTTTCTCCGTCTCCGGCACCATCACTGCTGAGGATTGATTCTCGACTTCACAGTTTGGAAAGATGAAGTTTTCCTTCAGACCGAGAGCCTCCTCCTGTGGAGAAGTCCTCTCACATTAGAGCAGTCAGCAGAAAGCTCCATCTCCACCTGTGTTTTATCATTAAAGAGGACGCTGTCGCTCCGTCTCCGTCTGCAGTCAACGACCCGGGAATGTCAACTCAGCTACACCGCACGCACGAACGAACGCACGCACACACACACACAGACAGACAGACAGACAGACAGACAGACAGACAGACAGACAGACAGACAGACAGACAGACAGACAGACAGACAGACAGACACACACACAGACAGACAGACATGCGCACACACACACACACACACAGACAGACAGACAGACAGACATGCACACACACACGCACACAGACAGACAGACAGACAGACAGACAGACATACACACACACACACACACACACACACACACACAGACAGACAGACAGACACACAGACAGACACACACACACACACACACACACACACAGACAGACAGACAGACAGACAGACAGACATGCGCACACACACACAGACAGACAGACAGACATGCGCACACACACACGCACACACACACACACACACACACAGACAGACAGACAGACAGACAGACAGACATGCACACACACACACACAGACAGACAGACAGACATACACACACACACACACAGACAGACAGACATGCACACACAGACACACACACACACACACACACACACACACACACACACACACACACACACACACACACACACACACACACAGTCGACCAGAGTCCCAGCTGTGCACAAACACTTTCACTTCAGCATCTGTCAGGAGTGCTGGGGGAAAATCTATGTTTTTCTAAAAGAGGCTGCAGCCCTTCCACGGAGCTTCCTGTTTTCACCGTGAGATACCAGTGTTGTTCTGCTCGCTGTTTATCGAAGAAGCAGGAGATATCGCTCTGCTTCCTGTCCCGCAGAACAAACATTTGCTGTAATTGATGCCGGCAGGAGGAGAAAGTATTCAATAAGAGAGGATTGTACCCCCTGAGGTGTGGAAGAAACACAGACACTCTTAGATATGATCAAAATAAATATATAATCCCAGATTCTTCAAAGCGGTCAGGTACTGTTTGTCTAAATGAAGTACAAACTGCTTGCCTCATCAAATGTATTAATGATGTTTCAGCGATGGATGCTCTCTCTGTCTCCATTTGTCAAATAAATGTTAAAATTGCTCTGGGTTTTTTTAAACGATGGATGAACACTTAGCAGAATTTATAGCCTCCTCAGTCCTCACTGCCGTAATGACTTATGCAAATTGGAGGTTAAGTGCTGAGTGTGTGTGAACATGTACAAACTTCAGGGTGGATGAAGAATACACTGTGATTCCTCTGCTCCACCTGAGCTACCAGGATCTCACTGTGGAGGTGTTTCAACATGCATGTGAAGGTTAATGTGGATCGATTATTCAGATATGCTTTGACTGTCATAGTGCAGAAAGCTGTGGAGGTTCATTTCAAAAAGATGTGGGTGTGAACGGTCACTTTATATTTAGTTTGAACTAAAGAAAAGACTATTTAATGAATAAAAACCTTCAATATTTCAATAAAAAAAATGGTATGTTGTTAATCTTGTTGTTCTTGTTCTGGTTGTTCTTCTTGTTGTTCTTCTGGTTGTTGTTCTTGTCGTTGTTTTTGTTCTTGTTGTTCTTGTTGTTCTTGTTGTTCTTCTGGTTGTTGTACTTCTGGTTGTTGTTCTTGTCGTTGTTTTTGTTCTTGTTGTTCTTGTTCTTGTTCTTCTGATCGTTGTTCTTGTCGTTGTTTTTGTTGTTGTTCTTCTTGTTGTTCTTCTGGTTGTTGTTCTTCTGGTTCTTGTTCTTGTTCTTCTTGTTCTTCTGGTTGTTGTTCTTGTTGTTGTTTTTGTTCTTGTTGTTCTTCTGGTTGTTGTTCTTGTCGTTGTTTTTGTTCTTGTTGTTCTTGTTGTTCTTGTTGTTCTTCTGGTTGTTGTACTTCTGGTTGTTGTTCTTGTCGTTGTTTTTGTTCTTGTTGTTCTTGTTCTTGTTCTTCTGATCGTTGTTCTTGTCGTTGTTTTTGTTGTTGTTCTTCTTGTTGTTCTTCTGGTTGTTGTTCTTCTGGTTCTTGTTCTTGTTCTTCTTGTTCTT